GCAATCATTTTCTGATAGCCAGCCAGTTTCCCTAGAAAAGCTCCGGTCCCAAGAATATCAGCCTTTCTTTCTCTATCAGCTAACAAGAGCTGACTAAAGCACCAGCACGTGAAGGACCTCATCAGCCAACAATAGTGCCTCTCTGCCTCTGATGGAAAGCAGTTGGTTCTTTCTATCTTCTTTGCAAGCAAAGGATGTTCACCAGCCAGAGAAGCAACTCCATTTCCCTTTCTCAATTGACCTTTTGTCTTCCCACAATAATTAAACATTAATTAGATGATTTGCAGAGTGTCAGAAACTGTCCTCTAGAGAAAATATGGTGTTAGGAAATCATGTCACACCTTGTGTTCAAAGAAAAAAACTGTGCTGCTGTGGTTTTAAGGAATTGTCAGCTATCATAACCAATAAACATATCCTTGTGTTATATATTGAGCTCCCTTTCACAGAAAATAGAACCACTTAGAATATATTCTAATGGCCTTTTAGAATGCTTTCAAATGTTCACAGATGTGCCCAGATGTAACATTTGGCTGTATTTCACATTTGCTAGAGCACAAAAGCATTTCCACATATGCCCAAAGAGATGCCAGACAAATAATCTGGTAGGGGTGCCAACTAATCATAAAAACTGAATGTGCCCATGTGTCTTTAGCAGCATTTTTTTTCTGTTGACCTTAGTTGGTGAAAGTTTTCACAGCATGGAAATAGCTAGTATTGTCTGCTAATGGAGGTACATCAAGGTTACATTGAAGTCATCACTACAATGGCCAGTTCAAAGGATGTCAGTTGTATGCCTGTTTGTATGATGGCTGTCTCTTTTGCTCAGATCCAAAGGGAGCCATATTAAAAGCACCACCACCAGGATGATTTTCTTTTAAATTTTGTATGTCATGGAAAGAGAAAGACAGTGAGAAGAGAAAGAGAATGGCTTTCATTTATACTGCAAAACATGAGATTTGGGGGCTTTATTGATTTAGATTGTAGGTCAAGTTATCATTGTGGAACACTTTTATATACATTTCTGAGTATACAAAGCTTAAAAATCATCACCAATTTTGTCTATGCTATTGTATACTGCATATCAAAAATTTAATGAAGACATTTCTTCCATTCTACACCATAAAGTGACACATTCATATAATGTTTCACCAAATACTCAGCTGGTTGCCCATATTAACTCAGAGAAAGATAAAATAATGAAACAAAGAAGAGCAGACAAATTTGTAAGAGAAGAAAGGCATATTAAAAATGGATCTCATGGTACATGCTGGCACTAGAGAATGATCTACTGTCAAAAAAGAATCCTGATGACTTTCTAATGCTCTAGACTTATTAAAATTAGTCAAAATTATTCCCACAATGAAGTTTGTATTTACACAAATGAGGGAAAGGATTGCTACCACATGAATACTGGCCAAGCAGAATGGTCCTGAGGTTTCTCAAGATTTGTCTATGAAATTTAGTGGTCTTTCAGAGGAGATGAAAAAAGAGGCCCATTCTTGTGCTATATATTAATCCTATATATTAATTCATTCTTTCCTGGAATGAAATGATCATAGCAACTGATACTGTTCTGTTAAATCAAATCAAATCAAATCAATAAATAATATAAATGCAGTTGCAGATGTCCTTATGAGTGGCCTGGTGGCCCAATTGGGACCAAGCCCACTATATATGATCGAGGAAAGTTTAAACTTTTCCCTCAGGCCAAGTTGTTCCATAAAATGTCTGAGATCTTTGGAAGAAAGGTGGGCTAATTTAATGATAGCTCAATTGAAGGCATGATTGCTAAATCAAACCAACATCCTTACAGATTGCTTTTCACTTCATATTCATCTTCTTTGAACCCTGATAAAAGTCAAGGGGTCTTGGAAGCCCACAGGTTTTGAGTTTAAATACTGAGAGTAGGTGCCTACAGTCTGAAGCTTATAATATATTTATATATTGTACAATATATTTATATGGAACTTGTTTCTATGCCTGAGAAAATAACAAATGTCACATACATATTGTGAAATAAATTGATTTATAGTGTCATGACATGCCACAAAAACAATTTTCATACGTGTCCAAATGGAAGGAAAACAGAGGCTTAAGGGTTCTATGTCTCATCCCACCATGAGGCCTTCCTCTTTCCTAGTGATGGGCTTATATAATTTTATATGCTGACTAACAATCTTCAAGAAGAAACTGAATCCAAAGATAAGAGCCAGCTTTGTGTAGTGGTGAGGATGCTGGCCTAGAAACCAAAAAATTGTGAGTTCCAGTCCTGCCTTAGCTATGAAAGCCAGCTGTGTGACTTTGGGCCAGTCATTCTCTCTCAGCCCAGCTTACTTCACAGGATAGTTGTTGTGAGAAAAATAGGAGGACAAAGGAGTATTGATATGTTTGTCACCTTAAGTTGTATACAAAAACAAAAAGGCAAGATAATACAGGTAGTCCTCGACTCACTACCACAATTAAGCCCAAAATTTATGTTGTTAAGTGAGACATTTATTAAGTGAGTTTTGCCCCATTTTATGATCTTTCATGGCTCAGTTGTAAGTGAAATCACTGCAGCTGACACATTAGTAACACGGTTGTTCCCCATTGACTTTGCTTGTCAGAGGATCGCAAAAAGTGATCACATGAGCTTGGGACACAGCAACCACCATAAATATGAACCCATTGCCAAGCATCTGAATTTTGATCACACAATCATGGGGAGGCTACAAAGTGTGAAAAACGGTCATAAGTCATTTTTTTCAGTGCCGTTGTAACGTTGAACGGTCATTAAATGAACTGTTGTAAGTCGAGGACTATTTGTAATCTAAAAACAAAAAAAGTCTAAAATTTAATTATATGCTCATTTTGCCAACAGGGCTGTTGACTTTCATCTCAAAGCTTTGTCCTGACGCTAGTTCTGCACTTTTCACTTCAGTCTTCACTAATACAAACTTGAGCTCTTCTCTGAACTATCATTAGATCACCGCAATCTCAGCAGACTGCCAAAAAACAAAACAAAACAAAAAACAAAGCCAGATTGAAAGCAGGGTTTTTCTATCCATCTTTCAAATCCTTTGACACATGAGCAGCTCTGGGTTTTTTCTCTTCCCTAAACAGTTTTATTGCATTTGCTTATTATGCATGGAATATAAGAACTATTAATTTCTTTTGTGAAACCATGCTTGAACTTGCTTTTTTCCTTCCTCATATTTTTTTTCATTCAGTCTCATGTTTCTTTGACTGAATTCCAAAGTCAAGGACTGTCTTGTTGTATTGATTATATATGAAATGCTGTGCTTTAGTTCTGGAGAATTTAATGGAAGCCTTTGTAATAACATCATATAAAGTAAAAGAAAGAAACAGAAATTAAATGCCTTGGATGTTGTTACTAAATTAAGTGTTTAAAAAAATTATAGGGAAGGGAATGTTTACTTTTTTTTAGTATTAACCTGAGAGATGTCTGGCTACTATTAAAAAGAATGAACATTCCCTTCCCTGTAGTTTTCTAAACACTTAAAAGCAGGGCTTTTTCCTTCATAGAACGCCCAGAAAAGAGTTCCGGCACCTTTTTTGGATGGAACCTTGTAGGGCAGGCAAGGCGGGTTGTATGATGTGTGTGAGTCCCGGCAACTTTTTTTTTTAATAGAAAAAAGCACTGCTTAAAAGTGGTACATTACAGAATTAGAGATTGGATAAGAGAAGGTGAAACAGAATTAAGCATTTTAATTGTTTTTAAAACATCTCTTTAAAAAGCTGAGAATTAAGAAGACAGAAAGTTATGAAAGAGACATAAATGGAAAAGTTCACCATTATTGTCTTTTTTTCCTTATCTTCTTCTTAGAGATTCAACCCTTACTATCTTTGGACAATCACTGCTGATAGAAATAAAAAATGTTAAAACATTTTGGTAATACAGAACTCTTTGTATTTTAGCCATCCTCACACGTCATTTTTATGAGAAAGTTGTTCAAAAAGTTACTCAGAATCATATTCTTTGTTTAAAGTTTTTCTTCTTTTAGCTTATTTTGTTATTCATGACTAACCCGGCCTTAGCATCTGCTTTATACCCAACTATAAAACTATGTTCAGCCCAACAATCTGATGGCTTCAGCAACAGAAGGTGACCCAGATTACAATGCATTGTACATCCAAGTGCCAAATCTTGTTTAACAGCAGCTGCTGTAAGCTTCTCTGATTAAGATTCACATTCGACAGGCACAAATCACAACAGCCTCTTCAAACACATGCAGTTTTCAAACCTGTTCAGCAGATCTTTTCTTTCATAAACACACATCCATCTTGCCAGTTTAACCTCTTTTTATTTTTTACATCTTGTACATAGCTGTCATCCTTCTGACAAAATGATGAAAGAAGACCCTTTTAAAAGCTTTATTAAAAAAAAACTATTCTCCCGTAAAGCAGGAATTTATTCAAATGGTTTCCCCTAAAAAGACAAAAATAAAAAGAAGAATCAAGGGCATATGCTCATTTTGTCCTTCTAATGGGACATCATGTTTACAAAGCTGAAACTAACCCTATGGTATTTGAAACTTTTTTTTAAAGAGGATAATTTTTCTTTTACAATATTTTATTAGTATTTAATTTACAACAAATCTAAGAATGAAACCCATCAAAAACAGATGTTAGTAAATTGGGAAAGAAGGCTATAAATAAAGGTACACACTAAAACTCAGAAACAGGTGGCTTTTAAAAGATTATTTTAAAAATGGTGAGTTTTTATAATGGTGCATACATCTAAAATCACTTATGGTGCATACATCTAAAAACAAAACTTACGTTTGCATGAGTATTCCAGAAGAACCATTTGTTCAAAACTTTGTTCAAACATTTTGAACTTAAATAGCTTCAAAACCATCTATTCTATGGATTCATATAACCCAGGAGTTTCCCTTAAAATATGTAAATTGCCTTCAGATAGCTTTGCTAAAATAGTTTAGCTCTTTTCTTATGCCCAGACCTTAAATAATGACAGGAGAAAGAGAGTTGATGCTTACTTTTTAAAATGAAGAGCAGCAAGAAATTGAGGTAGAAGAGAAGAAAATTAGTTCTTGACTGAGCCATATTATTGTTCCAATAGAAAATCTTCTTTCAAACTTTCCAGTTACACAGGGGATGGATGATTATTGCTTTCTACTCCTGCCCTGAGCCTGGAAAGACAGTCAAGGGACAGGGTGTAATGTATTTGCTTCTGTCCCTTGCAGCATGAATAGCAAACCTGCAGAGTTCCATTTAAAAAGCATTTGTGCTTGCTAACATTTTATTCTAGCAGCACTGGGTGGTGACTCAAACCTGGTGCAGATTTTTCAGCTTAGTGGACTGGAGTCTGTCATGTCCCCTGTGGATTTAAGGACAATTGTGCTACTGGACAGAGAAAATACCCTCAGACCATATCCTGCAATAGTCTTCCATAAGTTCTCCTTTTCTCATCACAAAAGGCTCTTATATTAGTTCTATTTTTTTCCTTCCAAATTATATAGAATATCACATTGCAGGAGCAATAGCCCTTTATAAATCAGATCAAATTACATTAAATTAAAAAAGAAAGCAAAACAAGCTTCATTATTTCTCAGTAAATTTTAGCAATTATTACCTGATGCTATTTTAGATCTCATAATAGAGAAAAACCCTTTAATGAATATGCCAAGTTCACTAATATTATGGACCATTCTTTCTGCTGAAAAATGACTAAAGCTTTATGAGAAAAAATACAGCATGTTTTTATTAATATTACTTTCAGTCCTGAATAACATTAAGTTTGAGATTCAGATTTTAAACCCCTGCCACAGTTCTTTGGAAATTAACTAGGTGGCACAGAACAAAAAAAAAAAAAAAAGATTCAGACAATCATTCTCATTTAGAGTTACAAACCCCTTTATTGTGCATCCAAAACTGTGTGTTAGTAAAGATAATTCTTTAGCGTTTATAGTTTAAGATTTTCAAACCAAACTTCTCAACCAAAGCACCTAAGTGAATTTAGAAGGCAGGGGATCAAGTAGTTTTCAACAAACAGGAAGCAGACAGAAAGAATTATGGATATACCTTGGGATTCCTGAAAAACCAGGTTAGGGACAGATCGTCATGGAGAAAATCTTTATCGTCATTAAGTGTTGACTTGATGACAAATAATCAATCGCTCTCACAATGGAGGGGTATAAAAAATAAAGTTTTGCTTTAGAATGTATTGATGTATTATCTTTTGTTACCCTCATGATGTTATCATCAAGGTGATCAAGTTCTGGCCTACTTCAAATTATTCACAGTAGTTAAAAAAGGGGGAAACTTCTGAAGAATTGTAAAAGGACGGCCTCAGTACAGATGTTAACATGTTGGTTTTATTAAGATGGTTACTTTAGTTGGTTATTCACACTTTGGTCACCTCATGATTGGACTATTGCAATGCGCTCTACATGGGGCTGCCATTAAAGACCATCTGGAAGTGTTCAAAATGCAGCCAATGGCTATTCTGTTTGATTCAATGTCATAATGGGGATCAAGGAAAGGTGCTTTTTTTGTCCAGTCCCCACCCAATGGAACAGCATCCCCTCAGAGATACAAATTTACATCAACTTTCCTGGGGTTTCAGAAGGGCTTTAAGACTTGTCATTGGTTCCAGATAGATTAAAATATTGTGGTATTTCTGAAATTAAACTGGTAAAGTTTTGGTTCATAATACATAATTGGCTATGGTGGTCCCAGGCTATCAACACACTGCGTGTCATACCAAAAAGTCTTGGATGGCACTTAGAAAATATGTGCATTGACAAAATTTGCATATGTCAACAACAAAAAGTCACACTGCTTGGATGCATACATCTACTGTGCTGATACATTATGACATCTTAGGTTCTTGGGAAGAACTCAGTAAGTATGAAAGCCAACTCAGCTAAAGAATTGGCAGCTGTGATTTTAGTTTGTTGTGTATATAATTACAAAATCACCATCAGCCAATTGCAAAAGGCAAATTTATTTGGAATAGTTTATACCCTGCAACAGTACCTTTAACACCACTAAACAACAAAATCTGTTTATCCCAGAGCAGATGGGTGGATAGGTAGATAAAGATGTCCAATCTAGTCTAAGCATTTGGATGGCATTGTGACTAACTATAATAATAATGGTTTTATTGTTCTTGTGGGCTCTCCTAGAAGTAAGCATGGAATAACAATGAAACGAAAGCGATTCAATAAAGTGTAAAAATACATACAGAAAAAAAAGCTGGCTTCACATATACACTGAAAATCATTGGGCAGCCTTAAATTATATAAATAAGTTATGAATGAATGAATGAATGAATGAATGAATGAATGAATAAATATGCCTAATTGCAGACAGCCACAAAACTTAATTAAATTTTACTACTTTTATCTTTGCTGTATTTTTATATGTGTGAACTGGTAGTCTAAACATGAGCAAATCTTGTGTGAACCAAGGTCATTCCCATACTGAAGGGGAGAAGGAGGATCGTTTAATCAGAAAGCTTGCCAAGTTGTAATACTAGACAGCCTGAGTAGAGGGGTGGGAATTATTACACTGTATTATTTTGATTCTTGGAGGGGGGGGGGAGTTTAGATCTGGTTTCACTTTTGACCATGCTGATATTATGTAGCCAATAAACATGTACTTTGAGGAATTTTTCTGCCTCGAAATTCTGATTTATTTGGTCTCATTGCCTGGAATCATGACATCAACTGCTTCAAGTGCAATTTATTTGTGAACAAAGTGTTATATAAATAATTTACTGGGTTATGACTTCTATATGTTGCTTCTCAATATCAGCTACAGCGGCCTGATAGCAGGAAGAAGATACATTGCTTTTATCCTCAAAGATCTCTAACTAGCCAAAAGGAAATAGAATAAGGCAAGCCCATCTCTCTCTCTCTTCACTTTCTTTTTTATGTCAAACTTTCTTAAAAAATTTGTAAGTTTGAATACAGTATTTTATACTAAATTAAAAAAAATGTATAAATCCTTCTGGCTATTTTATAAATGTATAAATCCTTCTGGCTATTTTTCATCAGTAGTCCATTTGCAAATCCTAAATAGAGAAAAGGCAACATTTTGGTAATGACATTTGCATGAAGAAAATATAGAATTGCAGTGTTATTTGACCTTGATAGGTTTTGGAATCAATAATATTGTTGGAGGTTCCACTTCAGCTGAGTTGGGTCAATGTCTTCATATAACAAGATGGACCTTTTCACTGTCCTCTGGTCTCTTATGATTCTGATTGCACCTCTCACGTTGATTGCAATTTCCTATCTATTTCTTGCTTTGATAATCCATCTAATTATGCCTGATTTTCATTTGGCTGTCATTTGGCTTCCCCCATATTTAATTCCTGGACTTCATAATGTTTGATTATCTCACCTTCCATCAACTACTTGAGGAAGAAGGGGATTTTATTCCACTGATGATTTCTTGATATAGCTACAGTATTAAAATTTCCATTGCATATGTGGGCTGCTATCAAAACTTCTAAATTATAGGAAGCATGTCAAAATTATTCAGATTATACATATTCACCCAATTACTATGAAAAATGACAAGAACACCCTTGCCAAAGGATTTTATTTCAGGTACATAATCCTCTTCTCGTATTAACTTCATATCAGTTCTTTGAGTAGGTTAGGCTAAAAGAGAATATTGACTTCTGAACGTCAAAACTGAGTTGAGTTTTGAAAGTACATACACAAATCAAATCTGACAATCTGCTCCTATTTTCTCCGTCCTTGTGTCTGCTCAGATTACCTTCAGAATTATGGAATCTGTAATCCCATTTTTCTGGGATTTTGAGTTTTGTGAATTCCAATGATCACACTGAGTCTTATTGTATACTAATATTCATTTTTCTTTATGTTGATTGCAATAAAATATCAGATTTGTGATCCTTTTTTCTGATTGTGAATGGAGTTGGAAGTGCCAAGATTTTCACAGTGATAGGCAAAATGTTAACATGTTAACCTCTCATATATTCCCCACTGGATCTGTAAAATAGCTCTGTGAGAAAGGTTGGTGATAGCTGGTGGGTGAGTGGGAATTTGTAGCAAAGTCTCCTGGTTCTGGCACACTTGAAACATTTGACATCTTATAGTTCTTATACTATTTCTACTTCTCTATTCAAATAGTTTCTAAACCATTTTTCTCTTTTATACAGCCATCATCTACCCCCATGGTAGGTGCTAGCTGCACAGCATTATGAGTCCTATTAGCATGTACAAAATCATGTTTGCAACTGTCTGCAAAATGTTTTGTCTTGGGTCTCAGCTATGCCATTTGGGGCTGTCAATAAGTGGTTCTTTTCCATTTCTGACACTTACAACAGGCCAGAATTTATAATTGCATCTAGTATACAAATAGCAACAGTACTTAGACTTATATATAGCCCCACAGTGCTTTATAGCATTTCTGAGTGGTTTACAAATGTCAGCATATTGCCCCCAACAATCTAGGTCACCATTTTAATGGCTTCTAAAGGATGGAAGGCTGAGTCAACCTTGGCAGTTAAAATAATCAGTCCACCCTTTCTCTTGTATTACTGCATTACTCCCCCAATAATATCTATATCACCTAAATCAGAGGTAGGCAACCTTAGCTCTTTTATGACTCGTGGACTTCAACTCCCAGAATTCCTGAGCCAGCCATGCTGGCTCAGGAATTCTGGGAGTTGAAGTCCACGAGTCATAAAAGAGCCAAGGTTGCCTACCCCTGACCTAAATGATTATAATAGCAATAGCAATAGCACTTAGACTTGTATACTGCTTCAAGTTTCTTCACAGCCCTCTGGAGTCAGCATATTGCTGGAGTCAGCATATTGTCCCAACAATCTGGATCCTCATTTTATCGATCTCGGAAGGATGGAAGGCTGAGTCAACCTTGAGCCAGTCAGGCTCAAACTCCTAGCTCTGTGAGCAGGGTTGATCTGCAATACTGCATTCTAATCACTTCCACCAGGGCTCCTGTTATTACTGATAACAGATAAATGATTAATTGAATGACAAATAGGCTCCATCATAATTAGAAATGCTTTCTTACAATATAGCCTGCCTTGGTGGTTTTCAACAGTTTTAAAGTAGCTTTTTGCTCCATCAGTGGAAAACCTTACATATTGTCCCCAAGACAAAAACAAGATGATTTTGATAAGAAAAGGGGTCTCCAGAAAAAGAACTTTTCCGCCTTGCAATCC